GCTGAAGGTGTCTCTCAGGCTTTCTTGAAACTATTTGCCAGGCTGATCATTTAGAGCTGGCTCGTCTTGTGAGTTTTTTGTGTTGCATCGATACACACACGAAGGTGTCACAGCAGGAGCGGGGTAGCTCTCTAAAAGAAGTCTTTCTGTGAACTGAGGAATGACTGCTGGGTAAGTTTCACTGTCCACAAGGTACCGTGGTGATTATGACAGACTTTCTCTCCAGCAGAACCAAGGACAGAATTCCAGCCCAGTCTCTCCTGCCCAGCGGCCTTTTCTAGTCCGCAGTTCCTCAGACAATATGTGCTGTGTGGCCACCCCCCTGAGATTTCCCCAAGCTCTTCTGTAGGAAGTCACTTCCCGCTGGAGGCTCCAAGATGCTTGAGAGCAAAAGCAGAAGATGGAGAGAGCGAAGGCACCATGGTCAGGAGGCTGCTGCTAAGTGGGACTTCAAGCATATTCTTTGGCCCATTTCAAGGTCAGCCAGTACACAAGGTGGAAGGCAACAGAGGGGAAGGAACAGATCAGAAGATGAATCCTGAGGGGGCTGACATGTTGACAGGGGCAGACTGCTCAGAATCTGGAGCAGTCACGTGTGAAAAATATACACGAGGACGCAGCACAAACTCAAGCCTGGCTCGCCTCCAGAAGCATCATGTATGCCCTGAATGTGGCAGAGGTTTCTGCCAGAGGTCAGACCTCCTCAAGCACCAGAGGATGCACACAGGGGAGAAGCCTTACAGTTGTGGGGAGTGTGGACGAAGCTTTGGCCGGAAGTCCTCCCTCACCATACACCAGAGGAAACACTCAGGGGAGAAACCGTACACGTGCAGGGAATGTGGGCGACACTTCAGGTATACGTCCTCGCTCACTAACCACAAGAGGATACACTCCGGAGAGAGAGCCTTTGTCTGTCAGGAGTGTGGGCGAGGCTTTCGTCAGAAGATTGCCCTCGTCCTACACCAGAGGACACACTTGGAGGAGAAGCCCTTCGTATGTCCTGAGTGTGGGAGAGGCTTTTGCCAGAAGGCATCGCTCCTCCAACACCAGAGCTCACATTCTGGTGAGAGGCCCTTCTTGTGCCCAGAGTGTGGGCGTGGTTTCAGGCAGCAGTCCCTGCTCCTCATTCACCAGGTCATACACTCAGGGGAGAAGCCTTATGTCTGTGCTGACTGTGGGCATGGCTTTCGCCAGAATGCCACCCTCATCAGACACCAGAGGACACACACAGG